CAAGCCTTTTACAGGCCAGCAAACGTTCGGATATTCGCCCGGTCCGCATTAGCGCTGTCTGGGGTGCATTGCAGGACCGTGCCTGACATCAGCATGTGGAGAGGCTGGCAGAGATGGTCGTCTTGGTCCGAGATGGCGGGTCGTCGAGCGTGATGTCAAGACTCGATGGATGCGGGGTGCTAAGCGAAGTATGACAACGCCGCGCGCTAGGAGTCAATACTGTTGCTCCGCGGTGGCTAGAATTGAGGTGACGCGTAGATGTAGAAGAAAGGGCAATTAGACGTTTTGGCGAAATGAGGTGTGCCTGCTTCCTTGGTTTGTTGGTCGTGTCGCAGCGGCATGTCAGGGCGTGCGGCCTGCGACTTAGCATGGAGAAGCGGCGCGACGGGTACCTTACTTCGAGTGTATACCGTGTATTTGAGGAGAAATGCAAGCTGTCGGTGGCTTGTTCGATGATATCCGGCTGATTGGGCACGACACTTCTGGGATAACACGATCGCGCCTTCCTGGAGATTCATTAACGATAACCTGCTACCTCATCATTCTGGGAGCAGAATGGAGCAATACTTCAGACGAAGTATACTGCAAGCAATTCGAAACTGGTTATGAAGGTTGGTGACGAATAGAAATGATCGTGGGGTTCGTTGGGAATGCGGCCCTCTTGGAGCACGATTGTCAGCGGCAATGAGCAACTATCTCAGACGCACAAATACTCCAGAACTCGTGAGCCGGGCTTGATGAGCTTTGTGTTCTAGGCTGCCTGTTTGGCGACGCGAGGGGCCAGAAACATCTTATAGTCGTAGTACAGATGTGTGTACATCATAACCTGCTCAAAAGGACTCTTCGCCTCATTAGTGCCTTCTAGAGGACTTACAGCAGCGACAAACATGTGATGCTAGATTTGTGCTACTCAAATATGACTCGACACCCAATGCTGTAGGTCAATAAGAGGTTGGTGAGACTAGAAAAGCAGAGCGTAATGTTGTTTCCGACTCGCGACTTGCGACGGCTGGAGGGATTTCAATATCGCGCGAGCTGTACAAGCCCGATCCGCGGAGCCCGGTTCGACATGTACATCTCGCGCTGATGATGCAAGATTCGAGGATCATTGGAAGAAAGATATAAAGACTGTTCATGTTCATTGTCAAGACCGACGCGGCGTTGCAGCCAATGCGCGTAAAACCCACCGCGTCCTAGCGTGTCGTGGTCGCGGCTTCCCTCCTCGACACCTCTGGTCCCCCAGGACATTATCACCAACGCTCTGTGATGAGCTCTGTCAGAGCATATATCAAAATTATGCCGCTCGCAACTTTCTTGGTCTCGAAGATACGATGCGATTCGATGCGCTCCTACACAGGAGGATTTACGATCTCGACAGCGGCACTGCCCCCTGTCGCGAGCCTTCATCGCCGGGCGGAGCTATGACCACCCCAACGGGGTCCTGCGAGTACGAGCAACCCCAAGTATCATGAGCATTCGCTGTTGCGCTCCGTACACAGCTTAAAGGTGTATCTCATTTGCTCTGCCAAGCATTCCTGAGAACGAGTCTCTCCATACCGGAAGATCAGACCACCTGGGTACCATTGGCGGAGCAATACGCCGCAGGCCCAGCAAGCAATGGATCTCGATTGAAGGCCACAGACCAATCCAGAGAGGTAGAAGGCATCAAAGCACGCAATTTGCATCCAATGCAGTATACATGCTTCGTGAGCATCGTCGTAACAAGTGGGGTTGCACATTATGACGGCGGGGTTGAGCAGGTATGAGGTAAGACGCTCGTCAGGGAACAACATGCAACGCCTCAAAGGCTTTCAGCTCGAATAACACCTATTCACTGCTTGGACTGCTTGATACAACAGAAGAAACGGCGTTTATATCATCTTTGACAACATGTCTGACTACAGCGATTATTGTTGCAAAAGGCGAACGATTCAACAACTCCCAGTCCCCGCTCGGAAGGGTCACAATGCCATACTCAACTCCAACTACCTAGACGATATCGTTGACGCGATTGGTACTTGGAGCTGCCAGCGCATTCTCATAGTGCACTCGAAGGCGCTTCATGAGAACACGGATATTGTCGAGAAGCTGAAAGAAAAACTGGGCTAGTTTGTTGTAGGGACAAAATTGGGGGTCGGCGCTCACTCTCCATACGAAGACGTACTGGAGATCGCCAGACTATTTCACGAAAAGAACGCGGATTGTCTGATCAGTATAGGAAGTAGCAGCTACTCGGATGCAAGCAAGATCGCTCGCTTGATGCACGCAAATCTCGCTCCAGATAACCTCACGGTAGAGGCCATGGAATCCTTGGTAGACCAAGAGAAGGGAAGTGCAGTTGATCTGAAGGACCCAACGACAAGACTTATCCTCGTACCGACGAGTCTATCCGCAAGCGAGTGGAACAACAACTCATCTGCAACGAACCCTCAAACAAAAAAGAAGCAGCATTTCGCAAGTGAGTATGCGGCGCCGGACCTCATCCTCCTGGATCCTGAAGTAGCGTCCACATCGCCTCGGAAGTTGTGGTTGTCGAGCGGAATGCGCGCGGTAGATCATTGCGTCGAAACGGTATGTACTGCCCTCGGAGTTTCGCAAGGTAGAGACTGTATTGACACTGTGTCATCAACAGATGCTCAACGATGAGTGCACCAGAGACCTCTTTCTCATCCCTTCCATATTTAATGGGCGGATTCAGTCATCGTGTATCTCGTGTGTGTTGCGGGAGTCGTGAGTGGCTCGTCGTTGATGGGTCATCGCGGTACCATGGGATGGGATGGGATGAGTGCACCAGAGAAGTTTTCCACTATATGGAAGATGCGCTTGCAGTCCTACTGAAAGGGCTGAGAAACTACAAAACCGGCGAAAGTGACAGCATCCGATCCGAGCTGCTCGATGGAATCGGAAATTGTCAGATAGGGTCCAGGAACGCGATGATGGGTCTCATCCTGTGGAGCATTCCGATGGGACTTTCGCACGCCATTGGACATCAGCTGGGAAGCGTATGCGACGTTGTGCACGGCGTCACGTCTTGCCGAGTACGCTGAATGAAGTGGGTGTTACGGAGCAAGAGGACATTGAGAAAGTAGCGGAGCGCACCATGACTGACGTGTTCGGAGCGATGGAAGGTATCGGCGGGAAGGAGGATGTGCTGGCTATCTTGGCTTCAGCAAAAGCCCAAGGCACCGAGGATGGAGGGCTGGAAGGAGGCGCACCGATGTAGAACACGATCTAAGTAGAACAATCGTAATACTCGCTTATACCAGCTGCGCTCTCGACTTGCCCTTGGGGAAATAATGCAACCGCAAGTCACCCATCGGAAGCTTCTCAGACTTTGCTACATCTTCCATAATGACAGTCGCCAGCTCAGTAGGAAGCTGGCCAACGCCCCATCGCCTCATAGTCCTCCAAATCTCGTATATCCTGCTGCTTTCGTGCAGGAACTTTGTGGATCGACGGAACCAGCCAGCGGTCATGTGCTGAGCCACAGTGTACGAGCGGGCAAATCCCCACCTCTCCCAATCTTGCAGATCTTGCACGGCCCATATGGGGAGTAGATCACTGGCCCTTGACAACGCTAGCGTTACCGGTGCCGTAGCTTTGTCCCAAGCAATGAGTTTGGGGGTTGATGATGAAGATGTGCGCGGTTGGGTAGAATGCGAGGATGGTGGATCCCACTGATCCACACAAATCGTCAACAGCGCATCATCCAGAATCCAATACAGACTCTCGCGTTGACTGTGTAGGAACCGCTCCAGTCCAACGTCGTTGTGTCGCAGAACATTAACACCCCAATCCACCAGTAAACATGCCGCCTCTGCCCACGATGCTGGCGCGACGTCCACCAGCTTGTGCACGGTCGCGGCAAATTCGCGAGTACGATAGAAGAGCATTTGGTATATTTGCGGGATGACAGTCAGACCATGAAGATCGGCTAGGGTAGTGATGTTCATGGATCGGATGGCAAGGTCCATGGTGTAGGTGGGGTGGTGAGACCCGCGGTCCCATGGTCGCAAAGTAGGGACGCGGAATTGTCCATCTTGCGGCAAGGGATCAGAGCCTAGACGTGGCGGAACCTTGGATTCGGGAGGTAGATTTAGCGCAGGCATCATGGTGACCATCACAGCTACAAGGCAGGCCAGAGTGATGTAGGAGCGATGATTGTGGATGCTGTTGGTCGCGGCCTTACACCAAGTGAGCTGAGCCGAGCTGAGCTGAGGTTGTTTCGTTGAGAAGCGGGGTACACAGCCCCTTTGAGCTAAGGGAGTGGAAGGAAACCTATGGGATAACGATTCAGAAAGCGTGCCTGAGTGTGAAAGGGTCCCTCACGTGGAAGGGCGGCTCCTGCCCATTCGGCACGCTAGCGCTCTCCGACGCCGGACAGCCGGCGGCTCTGGACGCGTACGCCTCAACACACATCGACCCTTCTTCAAACAGCCCTTCGATAATCGTGTGTTATTCGACCATCCGCGCCATTCATAAGTTCGCGAGGCCCTTCTCAACAGAGTCAAAGGGTTCAATTGCGCATTCTTGCCCGTATACCCATGTCATATGCTCCGGTCTAGCCCGTTATGGGCGTCGATCATCGCCCGCGATGACAATGGTAAACCATACGAACCACCAGTTCCGCATGTCGAGAGAAGAATGCGGTCGACAACAGAGCTTCAAAGCAGCTTAGTGGATGTATCGAGCGGGTAAAGTATCACCATGTAATGCAAACCCTCATTCTGGGCTCAATACATCGAATATATCTCATCATGATCAAGACGTAGTCTGTGGCACTATGTTCCCTTCATGCGATATCATCAATGCTTCCTGCTTGATGTGAGAGCTCATCCGTCAGTATAAGAAGGTGACTTCCCCATTCTAACATAGCAGCAACCAACATCTTTACATCCTCAAGATTCAGAGTTTCTTCTCTAACATCTTTTTCTCATCCTTCATTCTGACCTAAGGGTCAAGCAACATACAAGATGATGAAGTCCTCTTCCATCATCACCATGTTCTTCTTCTCCTTCGGTGCGGTCTTCGCCGCTGTCGTCCCCCCTTTCGTCACCTCTGCCGCATCCGAAATCTTTGCCACACCTGGCCCCCGTTCCGAACCTCTCTGTGCGCCTCTCGGTGACAGCACTGCCCCGGAGCCATCCTCCAACGCTCTCTCAGCTTTCACAGATGACGAGAAGTACGACGAGTTGGCCTTGACGGCCCCGATCCCTGCCGGCTACACTGCCACCATGAAAAACGCAAACTGTGCCTTCTCGTCCAACAGGTACATGCTGTACGTTCAACTGGACTCATACGACCCGGAGGCTTGCGCCGAACTCTGCAACAACCATGAAGGCTGCGACTCCTGTAAGTTATACCTTTCGGCATCACAGTTCGCTACGGCAAAGCTAATCGTCTCCTTTCGTATAGTCAACATCTACATCCAGCGTAGCCCGTCTCAGATTCCTGGGCCAGCCTGCCCCAATCCGGCTCCCATTGCCGTCGCCCAATGTGCCCTCTACTCCCTGCCGGAGGAGGCATCTTCTTGCACAAACTTCGGTCAGCACATTGGCCCCGTCGATGCCAACGGTGAGGCCTTCAAAACTGCTATGCGCAGCTCCAACGGTACGTTCTTCGCCTATACATCTACGTACCAGCTCAAAACTAATCAGTGTACGCAGCATACAACAAGATCGCTGTCAAGGAAGTCACCGTGACTGTCACCACTACCCACCACATGCACACGACCTTCACCAGGCTTGTCTCAAGAAGTGATATTTCACGGAGAGACATCGCCACTACTATTGACAATGGTGATCGAACAATCAACATGACTACTACCGTCACACACACTCGTTCTGCAAAGTCCAAGTCTGTGGCTGTTGAAACCCCGGCTGGTGTTGTCACTGTCACTCGGTCGGCAAATCCTGCGTCTTACGTTGGTACGGTCACTGTTACCCGTTCGGCAAACCCGACTGCACATGCTGGCACTACAACCGTTACTCGGACCAGGTCGCAGGGCGCAGGCGCAACGCCCTCCCAGTTCCAGTCTGTCATCTACACAACCGTCACATCCTACTACGACAAGCGCGCCGAGCCGTATACTGCGCCTGCTGAGTACGTCACCGTCACTGAGGAAGGAGAACCTACATACGTTGACACTACGACCACAACCGTCTTTAACACCTCTGGCGTAGTGACCGTGACTACCACTGTCCCCAACACCCTACCCGCAGAGACCACCACCATCACCGTTGATGACGCTGAGACACCTACCTACGCTGGCAAGCGCCCCCTGGGCCCTGCTGTCGCGGCTGAGCCAATGCTCACTATCACGATTGACGAGAACTACGTGTACACCGGTCCTACGGATGTGCCTATGAAGACCTATACTATCTACCCAGACCACTAGAGTGAGTAGTAGGGGTACGTCTGACATTCTTGTGCTCTGGAAATTCGCTGGACTTAGCGCGGAGTCTGGCGTTAACAAGAGAATTGGATTTGACTGTGCGGGCTGATGGTGTCTTGACTGCTTGCGCTGTAGACATAACTAGCTAATGATAATAACCCGTAAAACAACTTGTGACTTTCCAGTGATGCAAGATAACATCCCTTCTCACTCCCCAGCACAATCATCGCAAAACCACTCTCCCTCCGGAACTGTCTTCGACGTCATCCCAATGCAGTCAAAGTGGAACCATTCGCCCGCGCAATCCTTCCCATCACACGCCACCATCCGACCAGTCTCGCGCCGACATCCTCGGATGCAGTAGTGGCTTGACTCCGACTCCGGCTCATTGTCGCCGCCATCCTCGAAACCCTCCTCAGAAGCAGACGCGGAACCCTCGTCGTCGTCGGCAACCAGGATTGGTGTGTCACCACCGGCACCAACAGCAGGAAGCCCGGCGACTACATCGCCCTCAGCCTCCTCAATCTCCTCACTCTCTGCGTCATTGTCGGCGCCAGGCCCCTCAGCGAGCAGCTGCTCGACGACAGCAAGGGGGACGTCGGCGGCAAAGGCTACGAGCTCAGCCATCTTGCGCCTCTTGCGCGGCATGTCGTCGTCAGAGTCATCTGACTTGCGCTTGTTGGAGGGAGGCGCGCAGGACGGACAAGACCAATGCACAGGGCGATCTTTCAGCCCTACACAGCTGAGATGGTAGTACCGGGGGCGGCACCGGCGGTTGACGCACCCGATTATGGGTGTTTGGTAGGTGTTTGGGGTGTTGCAGGTGCAGATGCCGGGAATTGGAGGAGAAGCGCCAGCGCTTCCCAGAATGGCTTGCTCGGTGATGGTGGAAGTCATGATGGCTGTTGTGAGGAGAGATTTGAAGATTGTATGAAGAAGTGGCTTGGAATTGGTACTGGTAAGAGGAGATGGGAGTAGAGGTTGCTGGTAGAAAGTAGGAAAGGCCAGAACTGCTTGATATAAGGAGGCCCAGGGCCGTACTGCAATGCTGGTCTATTGTATTTGTGATAACAATGGCGAGATCAGAATACTGCGACGACAATAGCACGGCAGTGAGAGCGAGGTGAAGGTGGATTTCTTGGCACGGATGTGAGAGACGAAATCGCGAACTAGATGTAACGAACAATAGGCGGAGCGTTTGCAATAGTCACAAACAATCCTTGCTGCCCTCTCACAATACATATTACCTTACTCTCCGTGACCAACGATCTGCCTCCTCCCATGTACACCCTCCCACTGCTCCCAAAGCCCCTTCCAAATGTCTCTTTCACTCCTGCCTAGACCGGCGAACATAGCGTCTAGTCCATCCCTGTGCAAGCTCGCCGTGCCGATAACTTCCCAGATGCCTGGCATCAACTTCTCCCTCACCTCCTGATCTAATCGTCCGTTGAGCTGGTAGCGGCAGAACGATGCGAGGAGAGGGTACAGGAATTTGCTAGCCTTATCGCGGGCTGCCTTGATGGGATCATTGAGGTCTTTGGAGCTACGTGACTGATGATGCTGGTGTGCCTTTGTGATAGAAGATTGGGGTGGATTGCACAGAGTCGAGAGAAGACGCGTGAATTGCGCTGCATTTGCGGGTGTGAGACGCACTGGCTCTGTAGCTGTGACGGCACGTAGCCACGAAGGCAGAGCGCCACTGCGACTAGCATTCGGAATGAACAGGCAGAACAACAGGCCTTGCAGAAGTGGTAAGAGGAGGTGGAAGCGTCCGCCTAGGCGGCCACGGTGTACGAGTAGGGCGAGGCGACTCGTATGGCAGAGCCTCGAGAAGATCTCGGGAGCATACTGAGATGACAGTACGGGGCTGCTTCGGGATGTGAACTTTACGAGTACGCTGAATACGCATTCAATACTGTGTTGTGAAGCAAGCGAGGGTTTATCGTTCAGAATTGTGTCAATGCAGCCCAGCAGAGCGTTGAAAGAATCATAATCGGGGCTCTCGGCAAGCAGAACGCAGATCCTTGGTAGCAGTGCAAGCTGCCTCTGCTTGAGCTCGGCGTTGGATTCCAGCTGATCATCCATGGTCTTGATAAGGTCGTCGAGGATGCGGTAGGACGCGGCAAGGTTTGGCTGCTTTTGATCAACGGTCAGTGTTGTGACCAAGTCCAGCTTCTCGTGGAAGGCAAGCGGGCCGAGCGTGTTGCGCAGTGTTGTATACACGTTATCCTGTATGCGAACTGGGCTACTTCTGAGGACGGTAAGCGCCAGACTGATCAGCCACTTGACGTCTGGGTAGAGCTCATATTTGGCGATCAATGTGTAGACTCGTGCGAAGTAGTCTACAACTTCGCTCGGGATGAGGACTGATGAATCAATATATTGCTCAAGGTCAATGGCGTCTTTGAGCCATGTGCGGAGCCATGCCTGTACGCGGTCAAGCTGTTTCACTTCTTTCAAGGCGTCTATAGACAGCTCGTTGAAAGCGTCCAACGACCCTTGAAGCAGTGCAATATCCTCACTACCAAGACATTGCTTGAGCAGGTCGACATAGCGCTCGATGTGAAGCAATGAGTTTTGCTTCTGCGAAACCGACGTCGCTCGCAAGATCGAGAGCCTTGCTAGCGTGCACTTGCTAGTGGCTTTTGCAATGGATAGCAGCCGTCCTGCATAGGCGATGAAGAACTCTTTGTTTTGGGCTTGAGCCTGGTTCGGGATGATATGGCCAAGGGTTCTTTGGACGAGCTCTCGCAGTAGCTGCAATGCTGCATCTGTTTCGAGATTTTGGCGATGCAGCTGTTCCGCGATGTCGAATATGACGTCTGCGTCGGTAGAAACTTTGGCTTTTGCATTTGGAACATATTGGAGATGTGCCATGACGCTTAAGGGTACTACTGTGTCGCTCTGTCCGAGGTCGAGGAGCTCGGTCGTGCGGTCCAGTATGGCTTGTCTTTGCTCGCGGGACAAAGCCGAAGGTTGAATATGAAGTATTGCTTCGCCGACCACAGCAGGCATCTTGTTTCCGGCTCCCTGACCGAGAGCCTCCACAAGAGCTGCACAGTATGCGTCTTGTATGACGGAGTTTCCATGCTCGAGGATGGACTGAGAAAGTAATTGACAGATGAGATCCCTGGTAACGCCATCGAATTGAGGTAGCTTCGATAGTAAGGCATGCAAAGATTGGCGGCATGTATCCTTATCTGCGTGCTCGAGGAGACTGATAGAGTATGCGCAGAAAACCTGGATCATCTTCTGCTGTGCGTCGGGTTCTAGCTGGTCGGAAGTCAGTGAGCTGATCGCCTTGCCTAAACCACTGCGAATAATCTCCTCCGAACCGGACAGGGTCTGAAGACGATCACAAGTGTTAAGCCAGAATAATGTTGCAGCAGCTCTTGCAGATGCATCTGCGCCTTCGCCGGCGTCTCGGCGCCCTGCTGACTTGACTTTCAGAGCTTGTTCGAGCAGCGGGTAGAGTAGCTCATGTTGCAGCGGGGATGATGCGTGAAGCTCGATGGGCCACAACTTCTCTAGTAGCTGGCACAGTGTGAACCAGGAGAGGTGGGCCTTGGTGTAACGGCTGTAATTGAGTTCCTGAACCCATGTCTTGTATGTGAGGAACAAAGCATGAAGCTCAGATTTAAGTGCTTCGATCGTGTTCTCGGACTGGATTGATTGGAGAAGAGCCGGCAGCAGGACAGCACTGCTTGCTGCATTCTTGTAAGCGGCGAGTTTCCTAACCTTGACGTTCTCTTCGGCGGAGGTCTCGATTGCCACAGCAAGCTGCGCCAGGCGCTCCGCATGCTCCTGGATCAGTGTTGTTATCTGGTTCTGGGTCAAGGATGGTTCGAGAGACTCCGCTAGAGCATTGTGCAGGGCGCGATCTTCCCAAATGATTTCCTGTCCGTCCTTGAGAGAATTGCGCTTGCCGTGCCTGTAGCTCTTGACCAACTGCTCATCCCACCTCCGGATAAAGCCAAGTAGATTCCTGTGGCGCACAAACGCCAGCATCAGTGGCTTGATGATCCTCTCCAGAATTTCAGCGCGTCCCAAGGGAGCACCAGCCTCGTTATTGGACGCAGAATGTCGCTGTTCTTTAGAGCCAATGGCTGTCTGCTTGTGGATGAAGCCTGTACCCTCCAGCTCTGAAGCCGTTATCTTCTCGAACAAGAACTCAGTGAGGTCAGTCTGACGCTCTTGCGTGACTTTGGCTCCTAACTTCGACTCCACAAAGACTGATGAGTCGAGCTGAATGAGAGATGCGATGAGGGACCAATGCACCTGCTTCTCCTGACGTTCGGGGTACTTTACACCGCAGTGATACCAGAAGATCCTTTTGACAAGGTCTGCAGAAAGGCTTACTTCATGCGCTTGCAGAACGTGAATAGCACCACTAAGCGCAGTAACGGCCGTCGGCCGTGTGATGAACTTCGGAGGTGTGGTTAGCGAGCACCCAGCACTCTCAGCAAGCGCTGAAAAGACAGCCTGTATCCAAGGCTTCTCCATGGCCCTACTCCTGGGCGTTCGTGATGGAGAGGCGCGAATTGCTAGATCGAGCACATGAGGGACTGTGTTGAAAAGAGATGCGAGCTCTGTAGGTAGCGCGTCGCCACCATCTTCGATCTGCGCAGCCTGGAGGAGCTTTGCACGGAGCGGTTCCAGGTTACTTGCAAGGACTGTGGTATCTCGGGCGTTCGGACCAACATCGTTAGAGCCTGTAGCCATACTGACATCTGCAAAGAATGCTGCTCTTGATGGTGCGAGCAAATGTCTCGCCAAAAGCTTGTCGAGCGCTGCGATTGCGCGATCAAGGGTTCTCTGAGAGCATCTTGTTGTACCATCGCTACGCGTCTTTTTGAGAAGTTCCAGCAATGTCAAGATAGGCACAAGGCACTCGGTGTTGAACTCCTCAGCGGACGCCCCAGTCTCGTCTTTGACCTCAGCGGCTCGCAGGTCCCACATCTCAAGCGCAAGCGACAGGTTCAGGTATTCGTCCAAAGTAGTAT